TTTTTTTTTTTTGCAGTTTTTGGTCAAGGCTGGGTTTGAACCCACCACCTCCAGCATATGGGGCCGGCACCTTACTCCTTTGAGTCACAGGTGCCACCTGTGCCTGGCTAGTTTTTGGTTGTAGCTGTCGTTGTTTGGCAGGTCTGGGCTGGATTCGAACCCACCAGACTGGTGTATATGGCTCTGCCCTAGTTGCTGAGCCTGAATGGGGATTTTTTAAATATGAAAAGAATACATCAACTTGAAGACAACTAGGTTCATTCACAAATTTATTCTAACCCCTCTCCTCAAACCGCAAAGTATACAAAATTTGAGCCAGCAGGAAACCCAAGTGATGAATCATCCGCTAGACTCATACACTTTGAGAGGAGTTCTTTCCATTTCCCCACAACCTGACTGACCCCTGCCTACCCCACCAGAGTGGGTGAAGCTGATGACAAGGACTGGCCACTTGTAAGGATATGTCACAGCTGAGTCTGAGGTCTCCAGAATGTGCAAGCAGTGCTCCTGCAGGGTCAGGGCATTGCCAGGGTCAAGGACAGGAGCTCTGGCCCATCTTTACATCCCACTTCTGCCTGTGTGAACAAAAGCAGGTGACCTTCCCTCTCTGTGCCTCAGTTTCCTCACCAATACATGGAGAAAATAATATGATGGAGATTATGCAAAGCAGTTAGAACAGCACTGGCATTTAACATTAGAGCTCAATCAACTTTAGTGCATCAGAGCTCAATCACCTTCATCTGTTATGATGATGACTGCCATTTGTCATTTATCGATGCTGAGTGGCACAGTCACAGACCTTGGCCTCCAGAGAAATGTATCAGTGCCACAGTGGACCTCCCAAGGGGTAACCATGGAGACCAGGTTCTGAACTCATATCTGCAGGTGATGGCCCATCAGTCTATCATCACCCCTTCATGCAGTGGTATCTACCCATGGTCTTCTTTCCCTCATTAGGACCTACTTTCTCAGGTCCCTCTATTCCAGCTTCTCTCTTCTAGAAGGAATTGAAATGCTGTTTTAGAATACATTCTTGATCTTCTTTTTGGGTAGATCGGTTTTCAGGCAATTTTTCCCCCTATGAAGTGAGGTTAGAGGAGAAACCTCTTCCTCCTCCCATCTTCACCTATGGCTCCATGGAATGAATATGCCTATTTAATGAATACACAGACCCCTCACTGGCTGTGGCAACTCAGGCAAGTGCCTTTGCATCAGTTTTCCCAGCTCATAGGATGACTCTTGGCCCCCTCCTCACCAGAACCCTCCCAGTTTCTGTCCTTGTTTTATAAGCTTCGTACCCATTTTGGAAATCCACATTATGTCCTCAGGTACATCTTCAAGGTACTATCCTCTCCCTGGGGCTCCTTTAATTAGGAAACAGCTTCAGTCTAAAGCACAGGACACAGACCGGTGGGACCCATACCCCTCCCCACTTCTGTGATGAACCCTGTTCCACTCCACCCAGTGGTGGATGCTGAATGACCCACAGGGTTGGCAGGAGGCCCAGCATACCCTTGAGGGTGGGGAGATATGTCCTCCAAAGGTATGTCTACATCCTAACCCCAGAACCTGTGAAGGTGAGCTTATTTGGAAAAAGTGTTTTTGTAGATATAATTAAGGATCTTGAAGTGAGATCATCCTGGATTCAGGATGGGCCCTAAATTCAATGAAAGGTGTCCCTATAAGGAATAAAAGAGATGAAGAAGCCCAGTTGAAGATGGAGGCAGAGCCAAGGAAGGCCTAGAGTCACCAGAAGCTGACAGGAGTATGGCCCTGCTCACACTTTGCAGACTGCAGGGCTCCAGAACTGTGAGAATAAATTCTGTTGTTTTCAAGCATCAAGTTTACGATAATTTGTTATGGTGGCCCCAGGAATGGAGTCAGGACCAACTGGTGGTCCAGTCCAGTGGGATGGAGGTGGGACTTGGGGCTATGAAGGTACGTACCCATCACTACATGAAGGGTACATGAAGGAGGCTCTTGGAACAGACCATGAGCCCCAAGGGGAAGAAAGCAAGAGCACACAGCTCAAGTGACTAGAATAGAAGATAGAGGATGTGACAATCTAATCCACTGGCCAGCAGGTCCCTGAGAAAGGCCGCTAAAGATGGCAGGGAAGGTAGGAAAGGACATACCACATAGTGCAAGACCCAGGGAATTTGAGGACAAGCAAACAGGGGCTGAAACTGAAAGACAGGTAGGCTTAGCCCTAGTTGGGATCAAATCCACTCTGGAAGAGGATCTGGGGACCTTTGCACAGCCATGCCAGTGAGTTGTGCCACAGACTAAAGGATGAGGGGCTTCTGCTGGAATATTCCACTTGGGATCTTAGAGGAAGGTACCACAAAATATTAAAGGGGAAGATATAATGATCCAATGGATCAACCGCAGGCCAGGATCTTTCATTTTCCCCTCTAAAGAGAGTAGTGATGCCTAGCTAGAGCTGACCTTTAGAAGGTGAGAGGAAGAAAAGGTCTTTGAAAGATATTGCATTTCCTCACAATGCTCTGCATCAATTGATAAGAGGAAGGGGGTGTTCCAGAAAGAAAGGGGGTGCACCAGTGCAAGGGATGAGTATTCCAGAGAAAGGTAACACAAATCAAGTAAAGGTAACAAAAAAGGTGGGGAGGGGGAGGGGGAGGGGAGTTGCTAGAATAATGACAAATATTTGGCTCAAGTCCAGGTTCCACTTTTTCTTCTTCAAGAGTACCTCTGATGTCCTGCTGGCTCAGACCTTGCAGGTCTTCCTGGTTTGGGGTGGGGATGGGGCTGATGGAGGGAGCCATCCAGTTCCAGTGGCAGTACCCCTGATCTACTAGTAGAGGGTAACTGAATGATCCTCGTGGTTTCTGCTGGGCCAGCACAGGAAGGGGTGATACTGGGGGAAGGCCACATCTGGCACAGACCACCCTATCCAAGTTCAGGCTTCAGCAGTCTCCTATTTCTTGAATGATGCAGACATTGCCTGGGATGCGGATGTAACCTGGGATGGAAGCTGCCGGTCCAGGGCGCAGAGCTGGGCGCGCACCTCCTGCACCTGCGCGCGTAGCTCTTCAAGGGCACCCTGCTGTGGTGCCGCCTGCACCTGTGCTTGCAGTGCCTCAAGTGCCAGGGCCAGGTGGCCCACCTCGTCCCGCATCGCGTCCCAGGCAGCGCGCTGTTCCTCCTCCTTGCGGCGCTGCTGCGCCTGGTGGCGCCAGTACTCCAGCACTAGGCAGCCGCCGCCTACGACGAAGATGGTGGCCTCACCCAGCAGCTCCGCGCCCAACTCGGCAGCCGCCTCCTCGTTCAGCGGCTTGATAACTGTGCCTCGGAAGCCCATGATACGCATCTTGGTCCGCATCTCCACCCAGTGGTACACTGCGGGGGAAGACAGGGGTCAGGCTGTGCTCTGGGAGCCCCCTGCAAACTCCACCCCTCTGGGCTTGGAAGTCCCCGTGGAGCAAGAGGGTTGAGGCTTTTAACAAGATCTGCGGGTCGGGTGCGGTAGCTCACGCCTGTAATCCAAGCCCTCTGGGAAGCCTAGGCGGGTAGTGAGATCCCATCTCTACTAAAAATAGAAAAAACAGCAGGGTATGTGGCAAGTGCCTGTAGTCCCAGCTACTTGGGAGGCTGAGGTAAGATGATCACTTAAGCCCAGGAGTTTGAGGTTGCTGTGAGCTATGACGCTACAGCACTCTACCAAGAGTGATAAGAGTAAGATTCTGTCTCAATAAATAAATAATAAATTAATTAAAATAAAATAAAGTATGTGCCTGGACTCACCCAGGGAATGCAAAGTCACTGGCCTGGGTGATCTGAAGGCATCTTTCAAAGGCATTGGAAGATTTTGGCAGGCAGTTGGGGATGAGAAACACTGCCCTGGAAGGTCATTAAGAGCTCCCAGGGTGCAATGATAGCGGGAAGTTCATGGGAGATGTAAAGGTTCAAATGGCAGATGCTTATTAGCTCCCTCTGGTCTTCCCCTGTGGTCACTGCCAGCCAGGCTATCCTCCCCTATCTCTGTCTCCTTACCCGCTTCCCAGGTGAAAGACCAACCCTCTTTTCCCCAAAATGGAGTTCAGACTGTGAGGAGGGAGAGGAACCTCCTGGCTTCAAATAAAGGGTAGCTTCATGTGCTAGAGTCAATGCTAAGTGCCTGTGAACACAGGGTAACCCAGCCTTCATGCAAGTCTGGTGGCCCCAATTCTAGATTTTCACCAACCTTGAAGGTGCAAGAACTGAGAGCTCTTCATGTTGAAGTTTTAGCACATACCTTAGACAGGCGTCCTCAAACTATGGCCCACAGGCCACCAGCCCGCCTAGGACATTTATCCGGCCCGCCTGGTGTTTTTGCCGCCGCTGCCTGTCCTGCTTAGCAGCCGACTTGTCCTGGGGCCCGCAGTCTGGCCCTCCAACAGTCTGAGGGACAGTGAACTGGCCCCATGTTTAAAAAGTTTGAGGACCTCAGCCTTAGAAGGAGCTCAAGGGTTGAGTTATGCTGCTGAAACAAAAACTTCTTCTTTGCCCAGCTGCTTCTTTGTGAAGGAAGATCCTTATCATTTGAGTCTTTTTTTTTTTTTTTTTTT